TTAAGTTTAAATTAGGTGATAGGTTGAAGCCCACAGGTGCAAGGAATACAAGCAAGAGAAAGAATTACTGTGATTACAGGAATGGCAAAAGTAGAATCGTTTTGTTGACCTCTGGGTTTGTGATTTTGATCATCTGTGCATACATTAAAAAAACAGTTTCCTTATCTGTTCAAATAGCTTCCATTTATGAATGAAAAATGAGAGTATAGTGGCAGTTCCAGTCTAGGAAGTGTATCCTGAAAAACCAATAAAAAAAAAAAACCTTTAAGGAGAGATTATAAAGCACAAAACTCAACATGAAAAATTGATTGCTTTTTCAGAAGTACTATAAAAATTAGTGGATGTTGCTTATTCAACAGTGTGATCTATTTAGTCCAAGTTCTGATGCATTTACCCTGCTTTTATTAATTATTTTTCTGTTAAAATACATATCTCTCAGAGGATCAGAAGCCTGCCTATGTTTAGCAAGGATTTATGGTCCCTTTTTACCTTCATCCTCTCTCACTGTGTGATACACGATATTGACTCCATCCTGTGCATACTTTTGGTGTTTCTGTTGTTGCTATATGTAACAAATCAATTTGGCAAAAAAAGTTTTATTAAAGCCCAAGTGGTTGGAAGGGAGATTTGCCTAGCCCAAGGTATGTATCTGGGCAGTGACACAGAATGGGCCATGAGAAGGAAGGTCAGAATTCATTACTTGAACAAATTTGGTTGCTTCATCAGACTAAGGACAGCCCTTGGCCCAAGGGCTCAGCTGTCGGGGATCCAAAGGCTATTTCTAACTCTGACTTTCTCAGTCTACATGTGGTCAAGAGAAGAGTTTAGGCTCAGGGCACCAGCATTCACTGCTGGGATCAGATAGGACTATGCATTTGAGATGAACACCATTAGGTACACATCTGCCATGAAACACTAGCACGACACCTGAGAGCTCATACTGACAGTGTAATACAATATGTTCTCCTTCTTCTTCACCTCTAATTGGTTTGTGAGGTCTGGGATTGGCAAGCTTACTGCAGGCATCACCTCTCTGATGTTATGTGCAGCCATGCACAGGCAAATCTATCCACAATAATCTGTATTGCTGACCTCAGGGCAATGCTGGAGTATGGCTGACAAGAATGAGATGTCACCTACTTCCTTGAGGTTGAGAAAGTGATGCAGCTGGAGTGGGAAGCATGCATGGTGAATTACTGTGGTGGGAAGAGTGAAAAGGCTGTGAGGCTGTAGCAACCACTTAGTACCATATCATACCTATAAAGTCATCTTCTTTTACCTCTGGTTGTTGACTGAGTGCTTGAGCACTTGTGTGTGTGAATCTATATGTGTGAGGAATGGGATTTCTTTGGTATGGGCAATTTGGACCAGTTTCTCTTCCTCTACCTCTGATTTTTGACCCTAAATCTGTTGATTTAAATGTCTGAGGAACCAAGGACTTTAGTCCTGGAAGCTGTGTATAGCAAGTCAAACTGTGGCAGGACTCAGACATCTGATAAAATTTGTTAGCTAAACTATCATTATTCTGAATTACATGTAACCTGGATTAGCATCATAAGAATTGACATAGGCAGCCCTGAAATGTTTGAATTAGAAGTGGCACTGTTTGACATCATGCCAACAACCCACAGTAATGAGCTGTCAGGCTGTTGCCAAATACTGTGAAAGTACCCTGATTCTTGTGCCTGCTCCAAACATATGGAAACCAAAGTGACAGAGAAAATCACTTTAACACACAGCCTTTCTCTGCATAAACACGCGTAGGAGCTAGTCACTGGGAGTCACTTTGGGAGGATGAATGTTATTCTGCCATTAGTACATGGGAGGGAGAAGTTATTGTGGGATAGTATTTTGCATTACAATTTTTTACTGCATTACAGCCATCAATAAAAAAGAGTAGTAAGTAGAAACTATTGCAGCCATTACAAATGATGTATTTTGTGTAAGGAGTCACCAGTTAAGTTTCTCTTTGAGTCTGAAGAATGGGATGTCCTGTATCATTGCAGAGTTTAAACTGGAGATAAGCGATTACATGAGTTCTCTGATGCATTGAGATTGTCTACTGGCAAATGACTGAACAGAGTTTTGGTCTCCTGTTTTCTTCTTAAACTGGCCAAGAGTCACTTTATTTTCCTGGTACAAGGTAGCACTCCTGCAATTCTCCCTCTGGGTCTGGGTGACCCCAGTTCACTTGCAGCAGCCAGCAGAAAGGAAGGTGCCATTCTGATGGGATGGGCTCTGCCATCTATTCCAGGAGTGACCTTCAGCATCTAGAGCCTTGCTGGCCACTGCTATCACCTGTACTCTGAAGATGATTAGAAATGAGATTTTTATGATGCCAAATAGGCTCATTCAGGCAAATCAGGGAGACCTTTGAAAGAAAGGTTATGGAATAACCCTGCTCGAGCTTTAAAGAGATTCTTGGCCATTTGAAACTGTTTTTTATTTGTTACTCCACCAAGTGTCCCACGATATTATTGTTTGAATTCTTGCCAAATGTGAGGTGTTTTTTGAAGCTCAAGGGTAGACATCAGGTAGTGCTGAAACAGGGACAAATCATATATTTTTCTATTTAACTGTACAGACTAGAACTAGGACTAGGATGCTAGCTCAAAAGCTTAGCAGAGCAGTTATGCTTGGAATAAGTTAATCTTCAATAGAGAAAAAGGATCATGTTTAATGGTTTCTAGATGGTTACAGGAAAATCAGCATGAGGTTTCAGACAGTGAACAGACAGCTACTTTCATTTACAAAGGAAAATACTGAAACAAAAGTATTAGCTGAACCACAAAAGAATATATAATTATTTTTTTTTAAAGCTTTGAGGACACGCCAACAATTGGGAAAAATAGATTTTATCAAGTTTCAGCACAGTTTCTCTTGTCACAAAACAAATCTGTTTAGAAGCACAAGTTATGTTTTCACATTCCATTAAAAGAAATCTCGTTCCTGTGTAGGCTAGCTCACATCATTGCCAGGCAAATCCATTGCCTCTGGTTTATCATCAGCAAGCATTTAAAGTTGAAAATTAAAAAAAATACACCAAACAAAACAAAATGAAACCAGAGGTCTGTAACTTAAAACAGATATGCCTGTTCACTTAACCTGACTGGCTGATAACATTTATCACATATAGTAGCTTTTTTTTCTGTCTCATATTTCCAGAGCAGGGAGATAAATTTGTAACAATATTTCCATATATCTGTAATAACAAAGATTTGCATTTTGCTAGTGTCAGTGCAAATTTGAAGTAATTCTCTTAGAACTGACTGAGCTACCCAGACATAAGGAAGAGAATTGGATTATCATTTCTAGTGAGCACTTCACTTGACTTCCCATGAACATGTCTTTTCTCATTTTCTTCACATTTATTTGATGCATTATAGCAGTCAGTGACGGACTTAACATTGTTCGGACGTTTGTCTCATAACTCAATAAAAAAACCCCAACAAAACAGAGCAAATTTGAAGGCTAAGATTTATGTCCTCTTATGTGATATACAGTGATTATATGTTGCTGACCTTGGCCTTTCTATTAACCTCCACACAGAAGACTGCTTGCAATGGAGCAAAATAAAAATTGTGTGTATTGATGCAATTTTCCCTTATCCACAGTTCTTTAGCTGTGGTGGGGACAGTGTGGGAGGCAGGTCCAATAAAAGCACTGCTGGCAAGAATTTGTATTAAAGACTTGAACATTTGGATTGCAAGCCTATATGTATATACACACACACATACACACACACACATCCCCTCTTAACATCTCAGCCATTCATAACAATGAATCCAAACCAGCTGTGCTTTCCAAAGTAGCTGCCCTTTGATGCTGTGACTTCCTGCAGCATGGAACAGCCCAGCTGAGGTCACAAAGGGAAAGAACTCCTTCATTCCCTGGAAAACAGTCTGCCATCAGCTTCTCCAGGTTTCTCTCTTTCATTACGAAATGGAGACGGAAGGGTGACTGCTTTTTACTTCCATTTGTTAAACTTTGGAGTCTTAAATTGTCTTGTAAGAGTTCAGATCTGAAACCATGATTTTTTTTTTTTTTGTAATTTAGTCTTATGTGCTATCCTATCTCTGCTAGAAACTTCAAAGTTTTTTGCTGCTTTTTTCTGAACCTTTTAGGTTTTGGCAACAGTACCATGCATATTCCTTTAGTTCTGCTGTTCAAAAACCTGGAGATCAAGTAATAAAGGCTGTTAGACTTATTTTTTGATATCTGCCCTGGTTTTCTTTGTGGTTTTATTAACACAGCCATTTCCTTCTTAAATAGGAATGAGCACCCATCAGTAGGTATTTTTAAGGTTATTTCCAATGATTGCCAAGTTCCTTTTGACTAAAGAAATTCAAAAGCTTAAAAGAATGTCTTTGGTTAATAATTTATACTGAATATCACCTGACTTTTTCTGAATTTGACCAGAGTAAAACATTGCAAAATGAAGCATATAAAGCTAAGCTAGATCACTGAAAACAAGATTGAAATGTTGCAGTGATATAGACCTGCATATCAGAAAGAAAAATGTAGATTAAATGCAATCTAAGTGTTATATAATTTCCAGTCATATAGAAAGAATATTATTTACAACAAAATGAAGAAAGAGAGAGAGCTTCCTTTGACACTGTATACTCTTTCCTCATATTGTTTTGGTTTTAAAAGTTAGAAATATAGAACTAAAATGTTGGACCACATATATCCCATATATTCTGAAATCTTTACTATACACTTGCTTACTTGCAGAAGAATCCACTCAATGTTTCATAATGATGAATACATAGCTGTGGTTCTGTTTCCAGTATCTCTGTATCTTGGGCAAATAAATCAGTTTACAACATCTGACTAATAATTAACACATACAGTCTTCCCAGAACACCATAGTCTGCAGCTTTCTGTTCACATTTCTTTCTGAATACTAACTGAAGGTATTACCTCTACAGTAAATGAACATCTACTGATAAACAGAAGCACAGAGAGTCTGAAAAAAGACTGCTAGAGGCTGAAAAATGTGGCTCAAAAGTCATCTATTTATCTTCTATTGCATTGCAAGTGAAGTTTGGATGGCAAAGCAGCTTGACTCTAGAAGAAATTTCCCCCGAGGACTTTACTCTGTTGAAGACAGTGGATCTGCAAAGTGGAACAGGCTAAAAAGGAGTCTGTATCAGGGAAGGTCCTGCAGGGTACGAGGCTGTTGCACAGGAAGAGATGATGACTGCACCTTTAACATTGCCTCCAAAGCAGCTATATGTTACTGTGACCAGTTCTGTGCCTCAGGTTCTCCTGGCCCTGTAGATTGTTGTGGTGATTACTGGGATGTCTGTGTCCACCCTGTTGAGCCTACCAGGTCAGATGAGCCTTGGCCACCTCCAGCATCAGGTAGGTATAGAGAAAATGCTCAGTTTGTATTAGTGCATCACAATTAAAACATACTTGGAGTGAAATCACTGATTAATCTTTAGAGTGTACAAATCCTAAATATGTGACTACATAGTTGACAAAGGCACTGTGTATGAAACTGGAGTGAGAATTATGCTTGCCCCTATTTGTCTCTAGGAATAGATTTATAGCATTGTCTGTGTCATATTTCTGTTGGCCAAAACTTCTGTTTCACTTGAAAATTCTCAGAGATAACTCCATGGTTCAAAATTAAAGTAATCTTAACAATTCCAATAGAAATTCACAGATTGACATGAGATGAACAGCAAGCTCTGAACTTTTGTATCCATCAGTACAAATAAATCATCAAGAAAACTGAGGGTTATCCTGAATGATAGTGCTCTGAAATATTCTGTACTGGTTTTATCCAGCATAGCTTTCCTGTGGGACATGATTTTTCCTGCAACAGCTCAGCTGTACGAGTAGATGAAGGGATGTGTTTAGAACAAGGGTTTCTGTCATATTTACTTTCTTGTTAGTCAGTTTGTAGTGGAAATTCCTCCAAGAGTACTCTAAACTCATTCTATTACTGCCTTTCTTAGGACATCTTTTTGCATGTGTGTTCACAGCTTTGTAACTCCTAGACTGTACATATCTGCCAGAGGTGGCAGTTACATTTACACTATTCAAGAACCTTTATTTATCCTGTAGGTGAGCTTAGATCTTTTTTTAATATCTCATCTCAAAACAAAATCCTGTTTTTTCTGATCCTTGAAGTATAAAGTAATAAAGTCTGTAGCTTTTAAAAATCTGTTTATTGAATATTTGTTGTGTAAATAATTTTGGGGGTAAAAGGAGAATAATAAAGCAGCCAAAATATAGCAGAAAAAAAAAAAAAGGAACTTTCTAGAACTGGAATGTCTGAGGAACAGAGAAGAGAGAATCTAACTGGAAGGGGAAAATGGAGAAACAAAAAAGACTGAATGCCTGAAGATTAAAGAACCCATGAAATATTTTTAGAAATGGTGTAAGTTTATTAGCTGACTTAGTAACTGAGACTATACGTCTGCCTTTGGCTAAGAATTACTTAAGCACTAGAAGACCACATATGCCAAAGTACTTTTCACCTGGAAGATTTTGATCTTTTAGTTGTCCATGGTTTCACTCTCAGTGCTTCCTAACTCAGATTTCTTTAAACAAACCAGTAAACTAGAGTGTTTTACATGGGCTAGAATGAGCAGCAATAAAACTGTGCAGTGCTATATTTCTGGATCCTTGTCTTTGTGTACGGCAGCAGTAAGCTACGTTGTGACTTATTCCATGGGTGTGCACCAAGCTGAGGGCCAGTCTTGATTTAATTATGTGGAACTGCTTTGACTTTGTCTTTATGAACCCAGCATTCAGTATGTTTCAATTGCTTTCCTGTGTAGTTTCAGAAGAAACTGTGTGCATTCTTGCCTTAGATACAGAAATTCCAAATTTTTAAATTATCATTGCTTTTTTTGGTTATTAAAAGAAATGTTTGAGTTTTATTGATTTACTATATTTATTTATTTTATCTTTTCGTTTCTATTACTCTGATAGTACAAAAATCTCTGTCAGAGTTAACACACTCAATCTCACCCTGGTGGTGGTGTAAAAGTGAGAGTTTGCTAAGAGATTTTTCTAGTTGTTTTTATGTTACACAGTCAGGATCTGGCCTATAAATGAGTAAAACTACAGACGTTTCACTGACAGAAGTACTTACATCAGTACTGGGGGCAAACAAAATAAAACCTGTAAGGGTATAGGAACACTGGAGTGGGAGGGAAATGCTTGTTTATTACTCTTCCAATCGTGATTTTTACATCATATAATGCCATTCATAAAGTGATCAGGCTGCATCTTCAAAGTAATTAATTACTTAAATATATTAATATTCCATCCTGGTATATTCATGGCCAGACAACCTCGTTGTGTTCTCATGCAAACAGTGTCTTTTAGGTTAGATATCTCTGCTCTCTGCCACTGATGCCTCAGGCAACACTCCTGACCTGCTGACTCTTAATTTGGCTAGACTAAAGAAAATGGATGGCTTTAATCTTTAATTCCCTAAGCACACATTATTACAAAGTTTCTTCTGTACTTGTCTAGGTTTGCATTTTTTTTGTTGGGCACAGAGAGTGAGGCCTGCCAACAGAGCTCCAGTGAGGCTCAGTCCTGTCCCGTGGATGCTGCATCAATACTTCCTTCCCTCAATATACTTGAAATATCTTGCTTGATATCTCCTTCCAGCTACTGTCTTGTGTTGACTTTGTGGCAGACTGTGACAAATCGTGACACTTAGGTAACTTGCTTTGGGTATTCTCTGAAAAATGCCTTGGATCTTAGCAGAAGCTGAATCAGAGCAGGCACTTGGGCCTCAGTCTTCTTGGGAAAGATATATCTCACCTATATCTACCGTAGGTGACCTACTGTGTGACTAACAGGAGAAGACAGGCGTTTTTAAATCATCAGCTCTAGTCTCTGCACTTTGGTATGAAATCAGCTATGGCTTAGAAGTGCATATTTCTCTCCTGCCAATAGAGGAGGTCTAGGCAGCTGAGGCACACGTGTATGTCTGGGCAGACAAACTCCAGCCCTTGCTGTGAAAGGGGTTGGCCTTCCTCACACCTCTGGTGGGGAGAAAGCCTGATATAGTGCAAATGCAAGTCAACACTATATTAATATGAAATATAGTTTAAGCTTCTTGAAAACAGAGGAGAAAGAAGAACTTGGAGGTTCTGGGCAGGGGAAGGAACGTGATCTCTAGCTATAGGCTCACCAGTGCAGGTGTGAGAACAGGCTGGAGAACAAAAACCCATGTGATAAATGTACAATGTTTGTTATAGATGTGATCTTTTGAGGTCCCTTCCAATCCCTAACAATCTGTGAATCTGTGATCCAAAGCCCTGCACAGGAATTCTGCATCTTTTTCCTGAAGCTTTGGCAATGAAGCGTGCTGAAGAAACAGTTTATATCGATGATCTTAAAACACACACAGAATCTTTTTTCAGGGAAGTTTTGTCAAAGAAAAAAATTAAGAGGCATGTATTTGATGGGAAAAATTGTCACTCAGTTTAGGTTTTATACTGGGTTTTTGGAAAGTGTATGAAACACATATTTGCATTGAAACACAATTGATTTGTCTGTTTTCCAAAGAGGAATTAGACTGGTAAGGAAAAAGAATATATTACAATTGCTTTGGACTCTCTATTAGTTTTTAAATTTTATAACTGAAAACATTATTTTCCATTTTAATTGCCAATTAGAAAATTATTTTTATTAGAAATGTATTCTTTTAAATTTTATTACTGGAAAATAACTTAATTTGAAGAATAAATGCTATACACATATGTTGTAATTTTTCAGTGAGTGGTTTGAATCTGGTGTTGATTTTATTTACTATGTATGACAGTGTACCTGATAAAAAAAATTAAGATACGTCAAACTGCCTTCATTGCTTCAGACAAACTGAGAGTAGATGTTGCTGACTTTCAACTAAATAATTCATGCATAACACATACAAAGAATTAATTCAATAATATCAAGAGTTTTGAGTTAATTCACCTAAAAATGATTTTTTTTTTTTTTCACAAGCCTATATGTTATATTGACAGGTTGTTATAAAGATGGCCGATATTATGGAGAAGGAACAATCATTAAAGACAACTGCAATTCCTGGTAATGTTTCACAGAAGAGTAAATTAAATTTTATTTAGCATATGTCATGAAACAGAAATTAAGGTATTGAGCATCCTTAAATTCATACTAAATATGTAATCAAATCAAAACAGCTGGAAGAGTAGTGCTGTATTAAGCTATTGTAGAACTTGATTACAGATAATTTAGAAGAATGGCAAGAGATCAATGGACTTTCTATCCAAGATATGAAAATGAAAGTATTAAAATCTGCTCCTCACTGGCCTAATTCTCTTCCTGCTCAGTCAGTTTGATGGCTCTGACCTGAGTCAACATGGTTTCATCCTAGATCTGGGTATTGACCTGATGCAGACAAAACAAATATTAAAATGTAAGGTATCATTTTAGAACATCTGCTTCCATTTCTTTGGCATAAATGATGAGATTTTACATTATTTCATAAAGGAAGAAAAAAAAATATATGTAGGAAAGGGATTAACTGTTTGAGAATCCCCTTCTCTCCCTTGGGACAGGAGTAGACAGCACAGGCAGGGGAGCTCTGCTGCTGGTCCTGGCAGTCAGCTGCCTGAGCCACCTCCCTGCTTTGCCTCTCCAAAAACCAGCCCTGCACTTCCAGCCCCATGGCAGCCCCAGGGGCTCCAGCAGCACCCAAACAGGGCTGGGGCTACCCCTGCCTTGATTTGAGTCCAGAGTCCTTGGAGCAAGGTGTTAACAGCTACATGTCTCCTTTCTGGTTTTCCAGAGTGAAATGTCCTGAAAACATCTAATTTATGGCACATTGTCTTTTTTTCCTTAGTTTGATCTCAGAAGATGGAAATGAATTTTTTTCAGATATGACCTTTCTCACATAATATACGACTTCCCACGTTGTTCCTATTAAGATTCATTAGGTAGTGAAACCAGAAGAAATAGCAATGTGTTTTCATAAGTACTATGTGACATTCATACTGTTTACACCTTTTTCGTCCATCTTCCTTCTGCTGTTATAGTGCCTATTTTTTCTTTGACAATTCATTTTCTGCTCAGTGATATTCTTGCCTTTTCAGCAAATGCTTCCAAAGTCTCTGGAAGTGTTCAAAAGAAGTATGTATTGTTCGCCAAGACTTGATTAATCACATCAATTCTGGAGATTATGGGTGAGCACACTTTTATTTTAAGATTTTGTTGTAAATCACGCTATTGCCCATTCTACGTATGTACAAATTACAAGTTACACAACTTTCCTCCCCACTCTGTCCTTTTCCAATATTACAACAATTTTACAGTAAATGCACATCAGTGAACCTCCTAGATCTCTGGCAGATTACAGAGTTTTAAGTGGAAGGATACCAAAAGTCTCATGGTGGTAAGAGTTGACATTGTAAACAAACACCTATGTAAAACATTCTCCAAATGCAGTACAATTGTGGTGGGGTTTGTGTGTTTTTTTATTTTTTTCTCCTCCTCACAAACCACTATTTAGATTATCTTATTTTTTACCTGGGAGAGATATTTAATGTAATTTTTTCTCCTCCCTTAAGAGTATTGTTTCACATAACAAGACTCCAGGTAACATTGGAAGAGACCAAGAGGAGACCAAGAACAGGAAATTTGTGGGGTTTGGCGTTTTTCTTGCTACCAGTTCTCAGTTGCTCCAGATAGTTCAGAGGGAATAAGGACACCCCAGTACCAGAGCTGTGCCTTGGGAGCCTGCTGGCTGTTTACAGACATATATACAGAGGCTTCCTTCCCAGGAGATGATATGCTAAATTAGCCAATGAAACCTGCCCAGACTCCAAACTGTGACTCAGTGCTGAAACATTTTGTACTTCATGGAAGATAGTCCAACCAACCGAGTTAGGACAAACAGTTAAGTTAGGCACCTGGAGCCCTTCACCTCTCTCTTGTCAGTGGTAAGAGTTACGGTTTGCCACAGGGTGTTTAAATCCACCTGTGATATGACTCAACTTCTGCAGGTGCTTGCTCTCTCCACTGACTACAGACAGACTAGGAGCAATGAGGATTCTTATCTGGGCAGCATGAGTCCCACCTCCTTGTTCCTCATTCACAGGCAAGAAAGAAAGAAATGGGTAAAGAGAATGTTCTCCCTTGTGGCTCTGTTCTTTCCCAGTAACAATAAGAAATTTCGTTGTGTTCCACATGTGAATGATTGCAAGGTTTTGGTTGTTTTTTGTTTTTTGTTTTTTTTTTTCTGGTGTGCATGCAGTTTGCAGGGTTAATGCTCTAGTCTGGGTCTAGTACCTGAAAGTAGAGAGGAAATTCTTTAAGAGCCACAGGGAGATGTTTACTTGCAATCTGGCTGTTGGTGTAAAACTCAGGCAGAAACTGTCCGCTGGGCTTTCTGCAGGGTTCAACAGTGTCTCACTGCTGCTGCACCAGAGCTCGAAGGCAATGTATCTTGCTGTGTGAAGCTGTTAGCTCTCTATGGGCATCTGGTCTGAAGCATAATCTGAGCATTACTTCAAGACAACAGTAGTTGTTATGACTGAACTTGTTTTCTAGTACTTGACTGAAGCATTGCATGCTCATCTCCTGCAGGCTGACATAATGATGACCTCAAATCACTACTTTTCATGTACTGCTGTGCTACCCTATCCTACACTCATTTGCAGTTGAAGAGCCCATACTAAATATTTTCTTATGCCTATTGAATAGAAGGTTTTGAAATGTAATTTGAAAGATTTCTTTCTGGGTGTTGTTGTTAGCAGCGCTCTTACAAAGGAGCAGGTATTAAAGTGAGTGGCATCTCTAACCCGTTTTTTTTTGTTTGTCTCTGGGAAAGATGGAAAGCTGACAACTACAGTCAGTTCTGGGGAATGACGGTGGAAGAAGGTTTCAAAAAACGCCTGGGCACCTTCCCTCCATCTCATTCCTTGCTGAACATGAAAGAAGCTCCAGTAAGTGTCATGTACAAGTGTAATTTTTTTTTTTAAAGAACTTCATCACATAGAAAAATAAATGTGGACAATTTTAAGATTATGTTTCAGTAATTTAACACTAAATCCTTCAGTGTTGAATATGAAACTCCCAGAATAGTTCTCCAAGCTACAAAGGGGTCCTATTGATGCAAATCAAACAAAGAGGACCAAAAGCAAAAGCTAACCATTGGGAAGCTCTGCACCAATATCAATTTATCATTGTAGATCTAGCGTTTGAAATCTTTGCTTCTTTAGGATGGTTCCATACTGTCTTCTCCATTTTGTAATCATTGCAAACATAGCTGTAATAATTTTAAAAAAAAATAAAATCTGGGCATAGTTCATTCAGGCTGACAACTGAGACTAAACAGTAATCTCTGAAAGAAGCTCGGATAGCCCATAGGATAAAGTAATGTAAAGATGCAGTAGGAGGCTGGGGTTTTGGCCAAATCAAAAGTAAAATTATGGGAAGCATGGGAAAATTAGATAATTCTCTACTACCAGCTTCCTAAACCTCTTGGCCATGGTTATTTTTGTGGCAGTTCTTACCATATATTTATGTTCCAATTAGTTCTGCAGCAAAGCAAATATACTTTAAGTTATGTAGGTACATTAGGCAATTAAAGAGGAAATGTGTGTTTGAAAAGACCTCTAACATCATCAAGTACAACCATCAATCCAACACAACCACGACCATTAAGCCATATCCTGAAGTACCACATCCACATGTTTTTTGAACACCTTCAGGGATGGTGACCTCCCTGGTCCAGCCTGTTCCAATGCTTTGCTACTCTTTCAGTAAATAACTTCTTGCGAACATCCAATCTAAACTTCCCCTGGCACAACTTAAGCCCATTTCCTCTCATCCTATCCCTTGTTACCTGGAAGAACAGACCAACACCCACCTCAATTTAACCTTCTTTTGGGCAAGTTAGAGAGCAGTAAGGTCTCCCCTCAGTTCTCCTTTTCTCCAAGCTAAACAATCCCAGTTCCCTCAGCTGCTCCTCATAAGATATGTTCCTCAGATCCCTCACCAGCTTAGTGGCCTTTTTTTAACCCACTGTAGCACCTCAGTGTCTTTCTTATGCTGTGGTGCCTAAAACTGAACCCAGTACTTCACCGCTTCCCGACTCCTGCTGGCCACACTGTTATTGATACAGGCCTGGACGCTGGTGACCTTCTTGGCCACCTGGGCACACTGCTGGCTCATGTTCAGCTGGCTGTCCACTACACCAGTATGCTCAGGTCCTTCTCTGCCAGGCAGCTTTCCAGCCCCTCTTCCCTAAGCCTGTAGCATTGCCTGGGGTTATTGTGGCTGAACTGCAGGACCCAGCACTTGGCCTTGTTAAACCTCATACAACTGACCTTGGCCCATTGATCCAACCTGTCCAGATCCCTATGCAGAGCCTCCTGACCTTTGAGCAGATCAGCCTTTATTCCACTAACCCGTTTCTCAGGCACATTTTCTCTGTCTATAAATATTTTATGGATTTTATAAGCCACAACCCAACTGCCCTGGGCCCTGCCAAACACTTGAGAAGCTTCAGTACATTCTTCTCTAAAAATTCAGCTTTGCACATTCATGCGTTTAGTGCTCAGGAAGTCCTACTTGTTATGGAAAGCACAAGCTTTGCACAGGATTCTAAGAAATCTTTCCAATACAAAGGATAAAAATATATAATAATAATAAACTCTGTATGACTTTCTTAACTTCTGGAGAATTCTTTGAGCTTGCATAAAATTGCTCTGAACTGTACATGAACCCATCTCCCACCCTTGGCTTCTCTTCAGAATTATTAGAACTTTCTTGCTTTTACCCCAGTGGTTTCTGTCTTAGCCAGTCTTGATGTAAAAATATTTTTCTCTGAAGCTCCAAATCTCCCTGATTCTGTCTCTTTCTATAGTTTTCTAGAAGAATATAATCTCTTTAGTGTCCTTGTTCTGCCTTAGAAAATTTATTATCTGCCACATTTTAACACTTCACAAAACTTATTAAAAAAAAAGCTTTTATTGGCTTGTAGACAGCTCCATATCTACTGCCACAGCATGACCTAGCAATTTCATAGCACGGATTACATAGGGGTACATCAACAGATTCTTCCTATTGGCAAACCAACAGTAGCCATGGGGTTATTTTCCAGGTACATTTCAAGGTAAGTGTCTGTCCTGGTTTTGCAGGGACAGGATCCCAGACGAGCCATGGTCTGCAGGCAGTTGCAGTTTGGAGTCAGCCTGGGCAGCTGACCTGAGCTGGCTACAGGTGTATCCCTTGCCATAGACATCATCTTCATTATAAAGGGGGAAGTTTGCTGGGAGGTGGTGGTTTGTCGTGTCATTTGCTGGGGCCTCCTGCTTTGGCATCTCCTGAACCTGTTCCTCTTGCTCCTGGTGACTGCTTTCCTGTTTATTGTGACCATCGTACCTTCGCTAGGCTGAGTATAACTTTATACTAGTACTGGGATTAATTTTGCTGTTCCATTAAATCTGTTTTCATTTCAAGCCATGGGTCTTCTTCCCTCCTTTTCCTAATTCTCTTTCTCTGCTAGGGAGGGTTCATCAGGTGATAGCGCAACTGCCTAGTTCTGGGCTAAACGTAGACAGTATCTTGCCAGAGTTTTAGAGATACTTGCCCCTGCTCTGCCTTCCATGAATGATTTTGTGTCACTGACATTTTGTGAAGCATACTAATACATTTACATGTCCTAACTGATAGAGAACAAGTAAGTTTCCATGACAATGTTTCCATTAAGCTTTACCTATAACTAGGTGACAGCTCAGAAGAGAGTAAAAAGATATGAATGATGAAATTCAGAAATAATGACTTTTTAATATTTTTCAGATATATTCTCCAAACCTTAATGGCTTGACCTTTAAGTGACTTTGTGGAGCAGTAATTCACCTGCAGGCCAAGTTACTACTTACATACTGTGGATAAATTGGAACTAATTAAATACTCATGCTTTCTCTGGGATTATTACTGACTTTCCCATTTTGCAAGTGAGAAAATGGCAAGCCATTTGCCCAAACTCATATATTTAGTTGATAAAAATGCTACAATTAGTGTTCAGGAGTTTTTAGCACTATCTTATGCTGACCTGATTAAAAGCCTGGTAGCTTTGATAATGTAGAAAGAAAACCATTGCTATGTAATTTTTTTTTTTTTTTTTACTTAACCTCCCATTTATTCAGCATGCTAATGGTCTACTATTTAGGGAATAAATGGCAGTTTCTGGTACCTAAGGGCCTACCATTCTGATTATTTTCTGCTGTCTTCTGGGGATGCTTGAGAAAAGCATTTTTTTTTTTTTGTAGAAGGGTCTCCTTACTCAATTTCATGGAAAAAAGACCCAAGAATCAAAAGCCCTTTTGTGTTAACCACTTTACATCTACAACAGAGTCTCAGTTCTCATCAGTGTTAAAGAATTTGGGTTTGGAGTGGAAGCTTTTCGGTTGTTTCTTTGACTGTGTTCAAGTACATATCTAGCTATATAACATTAAATTAAATGCTGTGACAGAGCTACATTTCATCTTACGGAAAACACAAGTTTTTGAGCTTTTAAAAGCTCTGCTATTAATAAAAGACTATACACGCTCAATAAGGTGATGCTTATGTCTGGAAGGGTAGTTTAACATGATTTCATGTTAGAATGCCTGAAAGACAATGATATGGAACAAGAAATAGATTTGAACTGAGGACTCACTGCTGCAGAGTATGGCTAAACCTAAACGTGGACTGACTGCTCAATACACCACTGAAATTGTTGTGACTCCTGACAAAGCTGAAGCTTTTAATAGTGTCATGCGTGTTATCTGAGAAGGCGTTCTGAGAGTGTTTACTCACCGCTGGGGATAGTGTAATCATTCTTGAAGTTCTACGTAGCACAATAATAACTGCCATGACTTTAAAACATATTATAACATACATTTGGTGGTATTCTGTCCGTACGTGTTTGGCAAGAGGTACGTCGCTATGGTAGGGTCTGCACCTGCAGGCAATAATGTGCCCACCTAAGTGCCATCTTACAAGGAAATGGAATACATAGTTTATAATAAGGCACCATTTTGGATTAAGTCTCAAATAACTCATGGAGACAATGTGAAGGTTGCGAAGTACATCAGCTGTTCCTCTGATATATGGCTTTTCACAGTAAAGAAGCTCAACAGTTGTAGGTCTCTCTTGCAAACTGAAAGTCATACATGTCCATTTTGTCTTCACAAAGCAAGTGATGTCCAGAAGCATTTTCCTACATTGAAAAAAAAAAAAAATTGCTTTGTCTCAGGAAAAACTATTTCTACATTTGCAAATTCAGTAATCTTCAACCTTTTGTCTCTGATGTGCCATTGTGAAAGTTTAGAGGCTGGGCCAGCCACTAGATGGATAACAGATTAACATATAATCCTTCTTTTCCCAAAGGGGAGGAGAAAGGGAACAAAGGGAGAGACTTACGGATTAGAAAACTGAACCAGCTTTAGTGAAAATAATAATAAAATAGAATCTATACAAACCAAATATTGAATCCAAACTCCTTGATGGCAATTACATCACCACGGGTGCTGTGAAGTAGACACTGGGGAAGTGCACATGAACTTGGTAGCAGACTGGAACTGGATTCAGGAACACACAGATCAGGATCAAAGGCAGAACAGAGACTGTCCTCCTCGTGTGCTGGCCATTGAAGAAGAGAGCTTGACCCTTGTGATCCCTCAGCTTTACACTGAAGATGATGTATATGGGATGGAATACCTCACTGGTCAGTTTAGGGTCACCTGTCCTGTCTGCTCCCCCCTGCAGGTGCAGCCTTTTCCTTTCTCCATCCCCAGTGAGGTACACAAGATTTAGCAGTGACCTGAGTCTTCACAGAAGCAAATATAAACAAGAGCCTATCTTCACTCCAGTCCTTGGTAGAAACTGTAAACATCAAGTGTTATCATTGCTAGAAGCAGAAGCTATCTGTGCAAATGTGCCGTTAACTTCAGAAAGTGCAGTTAGAAGAGATCTAACCGAAAAGTCACTGAACACAATGAGTTTGGTCTAACTCAAATCAGGATAGCCATATAGCTTTTCTGAAGTCACAGCTGCTGTATCATTGTTCTTTTATATCCACTTGCCTTCTTACTTCATCCAGAATGCTAACTTCACTGTGGAGAACATCTATAAAGTTTTAAAAATAGTTTGCCAGTCATTTTGCTGATAATGTTGTGCCGGTTGATACTGGTCCGTGGAGCATCTGTTGAGAAACTATCATCTAGATTACTAGTAACTATTGTTACTATTTGTCACAGAGAAGCAGTGCCTCTCAATATCAGGGTAGCAGTTTCTCAGACAGAAAGCTGATGTATCTGGCTACAGGTCACCCCTGCATTTCTAAATGACAAAGCTGATGGTTAATGAGGGATTTGCTCTGTCATTTACAATATGAGGCTATTAAATACATTGGCAGTAGTTTAGGAACATGTAAAGTTCCATTGTCTCAGACCAAAGATCTATTTAGAATTTTGTTTTTCTCAACTGGCTCATTTGTAGCATTGTAAGTGGTCATTGTCTGCGTAAGTGTGCTGAACAACCTTTGCCAAATTTTGCTTCAGGGAAATATTTTGCTTAGGAACAGATTATCATATTTTGGATTTTGGATTTTCCTCTGGAACAGGTGTTATCAACAATTGTTTAAGACAAATGGATAGACTAGAGGGACTCATATTGCAAATCTGCATGGCCATTCCTATTTCTCTGAGCAGTATAAGCAATCATTCCATAAATTCAGCAGTAAAAACCCAATTGAGTCAATGGTTTTGATACATTGAAGACAGAGCAGATTACCAGCATTTGCACCAGATGGTTCATGCACATGCTGATATTTGTGCAAAGCTTGGAGGACATAGAGCTGAGAGCTGAAGATGCCAAAAATGGCTGTCCAAACGGCTTTAGTGAGCAGACCATGAATTCTCATCAACTCAGCATCAGATTGCAAAGCAGAAAGAAAATCACTGGTTTTTGTTTTGGAATCAGTGCTGGAGATTGCAAAACCTCTGTGTAAAAGACAAGTCAATGATAGACTATGCTGATCCCTCCTCCATGGTAACTAAAAATTCCTACCTACAGCCATGTGTCAAGAGAACATAGTAACAGGCACCTAACTTTACTGCTATTTGTAGCAGAATGTTTTTCTTTGAAAAAAAGCTAACTGGGATATAATTAATGTGTTTCACAAGGTGAGAGAAATCAGAGAGAAACTAGCCAGTTAATCAAATTGGCAGGTGTGGAGCTCAGCTTTCCAGTGCAGCTAGTGGAGTGTCAGAACCCCTCTGATCTTGGGGGACCACAGCACCCAGTTGCAAGGTAACCACCACAGGGATGCTCAGGAAGCCACAGGTGCCAATGCTTTAGGTTTTCTCAATCTAAAAATTAATGATTTTAAAACCAAAATTAGGGAAAAATTTAAGACAAAACTAGGAATTGAAGCATATACAGATCTCCTACATTTTGTTTCAGGGAAACCCACTTCCAGAAGAATACTTTCCTGCATTTTTTGCAGCCACTTATGCATGGCCTGACTGGATTCATGATCCTCTGGATCAACGGAACTGTGGAGCATCCTGGGCTTTTTCAACTGCAAGTAATACTAATTTTTTTTTCTCCTTTTAAAAATACAATTGTTATTAGATGTGTGATGAAAATATGTAGTGATTAGTAATAGAGTAATTTCAGTTTGCTTTTCACTTTTTAGTCGGCAAAGAGGAACATTTAAAATTGGCGCAGCTTTCCCTCTAAGTTGTCCCAAAGTCTTAAAAAGTCAATCTAATTTGTAGAGCTCTGTTTGCTTTCTGTAAGCTAGTGTAACATAGGGAGATTTTTTGATGACAGAAAGTAGAAAATCAATTGACTAATGCACTGTTTCATAACTGTAGACTAACTTTGCTTTTAAAAAATTGGCTTTAAAAAATTTGCTTTTGAAGAATTTTGCTTAAACTACATGCTTAACTTGAAAGCTTAAACCACGTAGGCTTTATTTTTTTGTAATATGTATTTATATATTTGTGCACCTGCCATTGTCCAACTCTTACTATTCAAGTAAACAAAGTATAATCTTTTCAATACTTTTGTGAGAAGAAAACCCTGAAACAGCTCAGATATTTGTGGAAGAAACTATTTTCAAATTCTGTAAGCGAAGGTATGTCAGTAATGCAACTCAACCTCATGTGCCTCTGGTTTGATGAAAACTGGACACAAGGGTTTGCATCACTTTTTCCAAAGAAACTACAGAGATCAGTTATGTTGTTATGCTGCAATAAATCTCAGCACATATTTAGATATATAAGGTTAGAGAAAAAAATTATGCAATCAATCTTTATGACTTCAGCCAGCCAGTGTTTTTACAGGTGAAGGTTTCTGCAACTGGTTCTTTAAATCACAGCAGTAAGAGAAGTGAAGGAACATTTGGGTCAGTTAATCCCAGCTACCAGCAAAAGACAGACTGCACACTCTGTCACCAGTATGTCTTGTCTAATGTGGTTGTAAAAGAGAAAACCAAGAGAGCTTCTAACAGCTCTCCTGACAGATTACTACAGAGATGAACAGTGTTTGCTGAAGGCAAGTCTTTCCAGATATTTAGTCTGGATTTTCCCTTTCATAAGTGATTTTAATTCACATAATTATTTTCAGCACTAAATATTATGAGATGCCTTCCTATGCTGTTGAGTCTAACAGGCATCTAACATCTTCAATCTGAATTTTCAACCCTTCTTTGTAAGATTAATTGTTGCTCTATGATTATCCAAGCACTGCTCTATCATTTTTTTCTTATCATATCAGTATTATTTCTTATCATATAAGTATATCCTATAGGTTTTGCAAAACTCTTCACTAAAAAGCTTTTACACCTATGAAACTAAATTACCTGTGTGACACCCCATAGAAGTACAAAGCACAGTTGTCAGCTGTCATCAGCAGATTGACCCTTCTGAAGTCCTGTCTGAAGTTTACTGAAGTTAATGTTGATTTTGATGTGGCTTTAGATTTCAAGGTGTTTTGGTTTATTTCTTTATTTTCAGGTTAAAAAATGAAGGTTTAGCAATAACAAATGCAATTTAAGCACAGATAATGACTAGGACTGTGGCTTAATAATTGTTTCATTGTCACTCATTAAGGAAAGGAGAAATGGCTTTTTACCTAAAATTTAGTTAACCTAGCCTGACTTTAAATCAGTGCATAAATATATTAGTACATAGAATTATGGCTATCTAATTGAGTTCAGACATCTGAAGTGTCTATCTCAGGAGAAGGATTTTGTGTGATAAGGGAAGGAGATCTGATGAATCTTTTATTTACACATTAATTTGAGCATTTCCAAATATTCTTTCCAGTGAATCAAATAAATGTCTCCAGTCTTGAATTTTATTCATAGGACTGTTCATTTTTGCTTTTCTTTTTTTCTCAAATAAAGGAAGAAAAAGTAGGAAAGCAGGAAAAGACATTTGGAAATTCAGCTGCAAAGAGGTGGGGGAGTACTTGCATCTTCTGCAGAAGTCAACCAGAAATGAATTTGCATTTACAAACATTGCAGAGACTATCAGGCTAAATTCTGTAAATGCTTTCATCTGATGTTTAGATGTGTGGACTTTATGATAAACAGTAAATCTATAGATTTATAATATTACAACAAAGTTGCTCATGCAGCTTTGCAGTTTCACAATCCTCTCTCTCAAAAGTCTGTACAGTTTACATCTGTATAGTTTTGTGAAGATATCTGCACAAACAGAAAAGATTGAGGTATTTCAGTGCCCCTTTCACAATAATCAGTGTTAAGTTATGAGTAGTTATTTGGTTTTACTGACAAAAAATTATATCAAAACAGGTGTTGCGGCAGACAGGATAGCGATTCATTCCCAGGGTGAAGTCACAGACAACCTTTCTGCTCAGAATTTGATCTCTTGTGATATCAGGAATCAACATGGCTGCAACGGTGGAAGTATTGATGGTGCTTGGAGATATCTGAAAACACATGGGTAAATATTTTATCTACCCATTTGGATTATTTTAACTTGAACCTGTTGCTTAAGTTACAATGTTGCTTGTGTTATAAGGATGACTTCTGACCCTTCGGAAAAGAGGCATTTAGCTCTGTCCTAGGTCAGATTAGCTGTATTGCTTCACCAGGATTATAACATTGTCTCATTTACACCTTCTTTAAGTCACTTTAATGAAGGCCAAGAACTATGAAGTGTGCCCAAAGAAATAAATTAAGATCGCTTTGAATGAGGGCTCTCAGTGAGAAAACACTACAACCACCTAGCCTTATTACATCCAGGTATTGTCATTATCTGTAATACAACTGGGGAAAATGGTAGTCTCTCTAACAACAACAACAAAAAGGATTTTTTTTTTTGTTGATGTCAAAAACAGTACTGCAAGCAGACTCAAAACTCCTGTGATTCTTGGGATACAGGCTCTCTGTGCTAAACAACTTCGAGTAAGCAGCCCGTTGCATGGGACAACATTCTGAATATCTAAAAGAATCAAACATTGTCTTTCTGTAAAGCAAATTTTAATTATCCCATTCCAAGCTTGTGCCAGAGTGCAACACTGTAGCAAGGACTATGCCTAAATTTTTATTCCTTAACAGGCTGGACTAAACAAAGCTTACAGCTCTCAAACTCCACAGGAACTGCTAGAACCATTTTATAATGACACATAATAATTTATAGAATCCCAGAACGATTTGGATTGGAATGGACTTTCAGAGGTAACATAGTTCAACATTCTGCACAAAACGTGACTTACTCTGAAATTAGATCAGACTGCCCAGGCTATGTTCCTGGCCATATTTTGGATATCTCCAAGGATGTGGGTTCCACAACCTTTCTTTCATCAGGCCACTTTGACAACTTTTGTTGCCAAATATTTTTTTCTTATATCTAAACATCATTTTCCATGTTACAGCTTGTGACTGGTACCTTTCAGCATGTGTCTCCAAGAAGAGCCTTGTTTTGTTTCTCCTGTGACCTCTCCTTATGTAGTTGAAGACAGCAATAAGGTTCTCTTTTAGCTTTCTCTTCTCTGGGCTGAAAACTCAATCTGCCTCGGCACCCTCTTGCATATCATATACTTCAGCCTCCTAAGTGCCTTCTCCTGGACTTACTCAGTTTAGCAGTGTCTTTATGGTCTTCAGGTGAAGTTAAAAAGTTATGATCTTCCAGGGAAGACCAAAGGACTGTCATTCACATGGACATAGTATACAAAGTGATCATTTTGCTTTCTTCAAAAGTAAAAATTTCTGATCTGATCAAGGATTTTGTATTGTAATAGTGAGAGTTTACATTGAGAGTTCCTCTGTGTTTCTATCTTAGAGTTTAAATGCTAAAGTAATTTTGATCTAGGTTTTGAGTGAGTGACCTTTTAGGTGATTATAATAGGTAGTAGTGGATTCTACCCAGCAAAGGCCCCTCAGAACCTCAGGGGGCAAAGGCTTCATTCACAAAGAAGTGAAAGTTATAGCTTAACATTTTAAGCAACATTTTTTCTGTAACTAGAAGAACAAGCTGCTTTTAATGAGTAACTCACGCTCTTAAGAGTAAATACTGCTCTTTCTTACTGGACTGTTTGCTTGCCTACCATGTCAAAGACAGGAGCACAAGAATTGCTGGTGTAGATAAGTCAAGAGATCCATTTTAATGTTATCTCTGCAACAGCTGGAGCAAGCTATTTTTAGAGGGCAAGCCCTAAAGAACACAGCAAGAAGACAACCTCCTACTCTTCTGTTCCCTCTGACTGTTATCCCTGTATGGGCAGAACCACCATTAGCCCAAATAATAAGATTCTTCCTATACCACAGAAGTAAGAGTCCTCCATGAAGAATCTGTGCCATCCCCAGTGGGACAATCCAACTGAAAGAAGAGGAAAAAACCATCCCAACCCCAGGGATGCATTTCTCCTCTGTTGTCTCCTTCTGAGGTGTTTCTAAGTACACCTGAGGAACTGATGTCATACCATTCCTTACACTGGGTTGCAGTCACTTATTCCTGCCCTGCTTATGCTAGACTGTGGTCTGAGGACTGTGTGTGCCCACCTGACCTCCCTTGCAGGCTTGATTGCACTCAGCAGCAATACTGTATTTCTTTTCAAAATCTGTAAGAGGTGGTGAATAGAATGATGATGTATATAGAGATAAATAGGTTTTCTGAACACTATATATGTATATAAACCAAAGGTTTCCTTCTACTTGGCAATAGAAATATGATCAATAACACCTGTGGATATTTGGTCTAAATAGTTATAGTAATTGATGGTAATAGTTTCCAGTTCTTCAGATTGAGAAAGTTCGGTATAATTGGCAAACTATTTAAATACATATGCTTTTCATGTGATTGCCTATTTAAAAATGCTCTCAGTAAACTGTTTAATTATGCACTTTAAAAGAAAGCCTCCCATAGACTTCCATGACATTATCACATAAATGTGTATTTTGTTTTGGAAACACCTTGCAGTATTATGCAGAAAACTAAAAGAACCCAGTATTTCATAAAAAGGATAAAAAAATAAGTGGAAGATTCAGTGTGCCTTTATTTGAGTATTTCAGATTTTTAGTAAGTGCATTTTAAGAGTTCTGTTTCCTTCAACTTACTGAGGTAAAAAGGATGTTCAGTTAGTCAAATGGTCAAAATGGCTGAGCGATTCAGGATAAGCTTCTTGAAAGAAACAAACTTCATTGTTTGCCTCCATTTTTGGGTGCAAGGACAGCTCTTAACCTGTGCTTTAAAGCACCACATTTATTCATATGCCAACAGGACACCAATTATTTGTACCAAAACCTTCAAAAAATGAATATAGGACTTTTAAGCTCAACAAATGTTCCCAAAATGTGAGAAAAGGTTCCTTTTATAATGCCAGAAAAATGGAAGGTTACACATTTTTTAAATAAAAGAAAGAAAAAGACCTATAGTTTTTCAGCAGCATTCCTGTAGAATATGTAGATAAAATTAGAAAATGGTTTATTTCCCTTAAAAATTTTCTGTGGCAAATATGCCCATTTCACAAACCATTATCTGTTAAATGGATCCTGCTGACAATTGGTAATTCGTTGATCTTATTTAGTGTGAATTTTCATTCACCGTCAATGAGCTCAATGTACTAGCTGACAAGTGCTGAAATACATTTTCTCTTTCTTTGGAGAAGGGTGGGGAGAGGCCTACTGCAACTGAAATCATAAACATCATGCATACGAACTGAAGCAAATGCCTTCCAGTTGAAGATATGAAGACATTCACACTTTTGAAGAATGAAGGACTCTGTAAATTTACATGAAATACAAGAGTTGTAAATAGTTAGAAGCTTGAAACAAAGTAAAACTACTGAAATGGCTATTAATAAGTTGCTTTTTGGTTTTTTTTCCCTTTTTTTTTTTTTTTTTTTTTTTAAACTATCTGAGCAGGGTTGTATCTTATGCTTGTTATCCATCATTTTGGAATGATCACCTGAAGCCATCAGGTCAAAATCGCTGTTATGTGTCAAGTGACTATGGGAGAAACTATACAAATGGGCCGTGTCCCAATGCGTTAGAACGATCCAATCGGTTATACCGCTGTGCTCCTCACTACAGGGTCTCCTCAAAAGTAAGTTTATGCAGTTCGTCCATTGTCTCACCCACATTTTTTTCTTTTGGTGCTTGAAGATTATCAGGCATGTCAAAATATGTTTACCCGAAGACCAGACCTGTGAATTTTCCTTTATATTGCCCTTGTATTTCAGAAGAGTTAAAATTGGTTGTTTTTTTTTTTTTTTTTTAGTTTTGCATCATCTCTTTAAAGCTGCTGCTTTGTGGTCCTATAGAAATCAGAGATAGAAAAGAAAGTATGTAGCCATAAATGTGCATTAGTTCTTCTTAAATATGTTTCTGAAGGTTTTGATGATTTGATAAGCCAAATATTCTCTAGCAGAAATACAAATACAATGGTAAATTTATAGTATGTATATGTACACAACAATAAATTTGTATGAGTTTTAATTTTATTTAATAGAATGTATTATCTTCCCTTGCCCCTCACTGCTGCTGCTCTCACCTCCTCTCAGGAAACCAATATAATGAAAGAAATCATGGACAAAGGACCAGTGCAAGGTATGGTTAAGTTTGGAGGATGATCATATTATTATTGAAATAATTAAAATATGCAATGTACTTGTATCAAAATATTAGAAAATAGAAATTGAATTACACAGTGAATGAAACAGATACTTGCACTGTAGTTCATCTAGGGACATTTGATGGGCACGTAGTGTCCCTAAAGGCATGCATGAGAGTCCGTAATGAATAAAATGACCTTAACCTGCATTTGATGAAAAGTTGTGCAAAATCTATGTGCTGGAAATGCACCTTTTCCCCATATCAGTTCTTTGCTCATTGATGAAATAGCAATTTGGGGCTGTGTGGGAGGAGTTAAATGTTAGCAAATCTCTGCTCTCCAGGGCTGGGATTGATTACCCCTCTGGCTGAGGCCAACCCAGCAAGCCTGCTCTCCCCTGAAGGCAGTGCTCCAGCATATGTGCCCCCCCAGCAAAGCATGCAGTGCTGGAATACTCCCAGAATTTCCCCTTTCAGAACCTAAAATGCTCTTGTTTGTTGTACGGGGCTATCTGTTATGAATTTTTCTGCTAAATCCTGTGGTGAAGATTGCTGACCTCTTGGAAAGTGTGAGTCCGCAGAAGAGTCGTTCAGCTTGAACACTGTTCATTTGCAGTCAGGGATGGTGCTGCCAGCACCTGAAAATGCAGATTCCTACTCATACCCCAGGCTAGTGTAACTAGAGAGGTTGAGGAATGTGGGGTTTGAGGTGATGGGGAAGGGTCATAGTGCAGGATGTGCATCCCTCTTCAATGAATGGCTGATGCAAAACCAAAGCATTTGACTTCAGGGGACTTCTGGATTTCTGCTGTCCCCAATTACATAATATATTATCATAACCTCCAATTTATTATTGAAATGGTCTTAATTATTAGGTTTAATCTGTGTCAGTGCATCATGGAGCTGAACATCCTTTTTAAAGCTCCTTATGTGGATGGTTGCAACTAATTTGAAGCTCAAACTTAACAAGATCAGTACTAGCAGTCTTTTTTTGTTCTGTCCATTTGTTTGCTCAAGGAAAATATTCTTACCCACGCTGCATTTGATCTAGAGTTGAACATAGTAGTTTCCACTCGTTTTAAGAAAATGAAAGATAAATTTTCAGAGCTCCACTATTGCATTTGTTGTCCCTGTATGCAGAGTTTTCTGGATTAATCTGTTGGTACTAAATCTTCCATACAAAATAGTCCACATTCAGCATTTTGTTAGGTTTTAACCACTCAATAATTCATACAACTTTTTGAAATGTCAATGCTTTCTCAGAGGAAATATCTCTATCAGATTAAGGTAATGCCTTATGTGAAAAAAATCAACCTCTAAAGAATATATAACCACGAGCGTATCACTGAGTGAAATCACTTTCCAATTTTATATTTTTTTTGCTATAATGAGATTTTTAAAATGAGTCACAGTTATGACCCAATTATTTGTCACCAGTTCTCTCCTCTATCTTCCTGTACCACAAATGCAATCAGACATAATTCTAATTTAAAAATCATATCATACTTTTTTTCCCAAAACATCCTGCAAATGATCTTCAGCTACTGCAAGAGATTTTTCCATTATTCATTCACCTGTCATTCCTCAAGAACTTGAGGCCAGTCTTTTCTAATGTATTAAGGAATGTTTAATAGCTGGAATACATTCAAGATCCTTTCAAGACTGTGATGTAGGAAGTTATCCTGTTTGATCATGAATGTACTTAGATTTTGGGGCATAATCAAAGTTAGAGAAAAATATATAATTTTTAACAGTTGTGAAACAGTAGATATAGGAATGTAACTGAAAACTTTGTTATATAGCTTAAATTTTGGATGACATTTCTCTCTGACATACTTCGTTGTTTTATATGGTACAGAAACTAAGTAGTTATCACTTTCAGATGCAAATGATGAAACATTAGTTTCTTAAAAAGTCAGCTTTCAAATAAACACAATGAATTTTCATTAATACTTTGGAAACATTAAAATGGACAATCTATTATTGCCCATTCACCTTTTTTTTTTTAATGGATCTTAGGAAATATTCTGACAGTTACAGTGCTGACAGAAAAGAATCCTTTGTCACATTCGTTGACCTCAATTGAAAGAAAAGCTAACACATTTTGGAAATATATAAAAGTTTTGACCCTATAAAACTTATCATTTTGGCTATCGTTATCTTAGGAAAAAAAAAGAGTAGTTTGACACAAGAAAAAGATCTGGAGAAAGCACAAGGCTACATTAATGTATAGTGCTCTTTTTGTAGCAACTCTTTCTAGGCTTTCGTATCTTCCTATGTCTTAGAGACATATATTCTTTAAGAATTCTCACACATTCTTATTTAAGAATTTTTTTTTCAGAGGAATTAATAGTGGAATGAATGACACAATCTGTTCCATTTACATGCATAGATCTGGCAGCTCAGCATGACCGAGGTAGCTCATGCATGAACTACAGTCAGCCTTATGAAAATTATGTCCTCTTCTGATGCATTACCTGAATCCATTCGTTTTGAAGAAACCAATGTCTCTCTGCATAGGAGGACTTTACACTTCATGTACCCAGCACACTTAACTCCAAAGACTGTACCATCACTTACTTCCTGATTGCAGGATACATACATATATATGCTTATGTATATCTATATCTATATTTACATATCTATACATACATACACACACTAAATGTGGGTATATAATATGTAATAATGGATAAAATTCTGACATAGACTGGAGTTATGTTTGAAACACACTTCAAGATTTTCTATTTTATTTTAGTGGAAATAATTTAGGTATGATGTTTCTTCACAGAACCAAGAACATGTATTTGATATAGAGTTGCTGATGAGGAATAAATTGTGCTGTGAAACTGAGCATATGAACCTTGACTTCAAAGAACAATGTGATTTAGGAATGAAACTACCTTCTCCTGTCTCAGCCTGTTGATAGATGAGCTCTAACATCAGACATCTTTTGTAGTCCTTGCCCTCACCCCTGTTTCTTTGTCTCCCTTTGGCCAAGGTATCAAAACAAGATCCAGGGAAGCCTCTACAGTAATTTTTGAATTACTCATTCCCTTCACTTCTCCTCTGGCACCATCACCTGGACTAATGCCAGTGGGAATCTTCCCCTTTTTTGTTCCTTTGTACTTCTTTAAAGCTCTCCCTCCACAGCTCAGAAACCTCGGCATCTGGTGTTTTATGCAGCGGTACAGGGACATATGCAGGAGTTAAGACTCCTAGCTCTATATACTGTTGAGCCTGGGGGCAGAGGGCGGGAGGAAACCTTTGCAAAGAGCTCCAACTGAGTCCTGAGCTTGCAGCTAGAAACCAAGGATAAAGTCTATGCTATTTTCCATGTAATTTGTAGCTGTCAGTGTGTATGAACTTTGGTTCTGCAGGTAGCTTGGTAGGAGCTGTAACATTATTCATTAGAAGCGTAAATTTTATTTTTTTTTTCTGATTTAACTGATTTAGCTCTCCCCCAGAGAGCTTGCCTCCTAGGCAGCATGATGGCTGCTTATTCTCTGTGTGTTGTTATTGGCATACATTTTTTATGTGAGTGACCTCATTAGCAAAGTATATTTTTAACCAGGACTTCTGGGCAAATGGGTTCATTTGACCATATTTTGAGCTGTTCTCTTTCACATCCTAAAATCTGTGAATGTTGTCTGTTTTCAGACACGTATAATAGAGACCAAAATATTATAAAGATAATTAATTTCCTTCAAGTTTCTGAAAATATCCAGGCAGGAAAAAGAAATTTGAAAGTGTGCCAGACAAAAAACACTGCAGCATGAGCTCACCTTACTGGATGTTGCAGATCTATACCAGGCTCGTGTTATAAATGATCCAAACATATAAAAATGGTCCGTGAGCCTTATACTTCATGGGACTTCGAAGCTACAAGACTTTAGGAAACTGGATTTCACTGATTCTCATGTTCCAAGCTATGTGGCAGTCTAAGACTGTTAAAATCATACACTAAAAGGAAGTTGGAGTTAAGTTTGTATTTAATGCTCCTGATTCACTGGAATATAAAGGTAACGTAGACCTGGAAAATATTTTCGTTTCTCTGGATCTGATATCACACCATATAGCAAAGCAAATGTAGAAATGAAACTCAAAACCTTTTTCTTAAAAAACAAACCAAAAAAAAGTGGATTATATTCCTAGGAAACAATGAATAGACATAAAATGTAAATTGTAATTTTCATTCTCTTGAACAAAACCCCAAGTTCATCATCTCTTTGGCCTTATATTTTTATGGACACCAGGGTTTTTTTTCACCACACTTTTAGCTGAAAGTGAAGATGAACATATGTGCAGACATCCTCGTTTTCCATAATGAGACTGCTGTGTACTAATGTGTTGAGCGGGGAGCCCCAGAATCACGACACACTTCACAGAAGGTGCGTCAGTGTTCCGCTTTAATCTACACAGGCAGCTGTATTTATACACTCGGTGACCGATCACGCGTAGTTTACACACTCGGATTGGTTAACACTGCACAGCCACGCTCTAACCCCGTATCCCCATAGGTTAAATGTCTCTGTCCACGCGCCAAGGCGCTGACAGGGTGGTCTCCTGCTTGCAAGTTCTGGCCAAGATTTGATCTGCGCAGATGCTGTCGAGCTGTCCCCCATGTCCTTCCTGCCTAGAGCCTCAAGGGCACAATGTCCTTGAGGTTCACCTCCGGTATTTCATCATCTTCCTTGTAGCCTGAGCTGCGCATAACGGCTTCCAGGACGCCATCTTGTGACGCAGTTAAAATTCCCTCTACACTAATGAACTCTGAGTTTCAGAAAAAATCATCCATATCTCTCCACCATATTTCAGAATATACATTGTCTGTTAAGTACTTCTCTCAAATTTACAGATGCTTGCCAGAACTGAGGATTTTATATAGGAACCTGAAGGAGATTTCTTTTATTGAATTGGATTTCATTGGAATTGAGAAAACTGATGCAAGCTTACACAAGGCAATATTTCTTCTTACTGTATAGTAAGAAGTCCACAACAGTGAGTTTCCATGACAGGGAAACCCAGATAACTTATCAAGATACCTTTGAGAGAACTCTGTGGGAATATAACCCTTGGTTCGGTGACAGCAGGGAACTTCTGAGCAATTAGTGAATTTAGTGTAATTACAAAGTACACTTCTGCAGTTTAACATGGAACAAAAATATCTCTAGTAAAATGCAATGAGGAAACAAGAATAGAAACAATATTTTCTGACTGTGTTTATTTTTCCTGTTGTTTTTTTTAGCTATAATGAGAGTGTATGGAGATTTTTTCCTTTACAAAGAGGGAATCTACAGACACTCCCAGAAAGCAGGATCTAGATGGAAAACTCATTCGGTCAAACTCATTGGGTGAGTAATGGATATTTTGTTACCCTTTTCTTCTGACAGTCATGAACATAGTAAAATGTCAATGACCATTTTGGAATCCAAAGGTTTCACTGACAGAGGTGAATCACTGTTATTTCCCAACATCAGACAGTTGTTGTTTAATTTTCACCTATCCGAGAATTTTAGAGAGCATTGGAAAGAGGTATTGTAATGGTTTGAAAACAAACCAGTGAGAGACTCCAAGTCAGAAATACAATTTAATAAGAAAAAATAAAATAAAAGCAATAATACAAAGGAAAACCACAGATAGAGTCAGAATACAACCTGATACTCTGTAGTTAGGGTGGTAGTAGCAGTCCAGATGAAACAGAGGTCTCATAGAAAAGATCTGGTAGCTCTTGTCCTCTGGAAATCCAGTGGGTAAGGCCCCCTGTGCTGTACTGAACCCCAGTTTATATCCAGGTGGGAGCACTTGGCTCCTCCCCCTGGGTGGAGCATCTCACAATGGGTTGATATCAGTCTGTGAGTCATGCAGTGGGTCCTTGATGGTCCATTAAACAGAAATAGCTCCTGGGGGGAGCTCTGTATGAGTCATGGGGCGAGGCATGGATGGGCCCATTAACAGGGAGGACTCCTCCTGCTGGGTGGGAAGGTGTTAACATCTCCCCTGACCTTGAACCTCTTTCCTTATCTGTTATAGCCTGGGGTGTGAGGTCTGTCCTGGGCAGCTGCTACCCATGATTTTCTTAACAGCCCATGAGCACTGACACAGAGAGTATAGAATACAGAGTTTTTCGTTCTACCCACATAAGGATAAACTGGTCCCAGCCCCTGTAACCATGACAGGTATAGACCCATCATCTTTTAATCTGCTTTAACATTTGTTCTAAAATTTCAAATATACCGATTTATAGGAGAAAATGTTTTGCTAAGTATTGAGAAGTATTGAGAACTTGATCGTGTACGTATCAAGTTGTGAATAAAACTGACACAATTTCCTCCAAACATGCTGCCAAGCAGAATGCAAATGGAAACATAAAAATTGCCAGTCATCTCCTAATTAACAAGCACAGATTTCTGGCACAGCAGTCTGGGATCTCTACACCCCAGACAGAAATCACTGCCGCTAGGATGCTGCTGACTTTATTTGGGATGCACAAGGAATCCACACTCAGTACTGAAACTGGTGCAGAAAAGAGTATATAATACACTAGTGGATTTCCCTTCAAATGTAGACCAGTGCCACTATATTAAGATGATAAGAATCTAATAATGCATGCACTCAAATTACAGAACACAACATGATGATTTATTCTTTGACATGAAGGTAATATACAAGGATGAATTTATTAAATTATCAATTGAATAGTTTCATAGAGAAATAACTGGAGGGTCTCAAACAAATATTTTACATGTGATCTAGATTATGAAATAAAAATTCAAGCATGTGCTAGGAAGATTACTAAGAAATCTTCAACATGTAGTTCGACAAAATGAAGTCACAAATTTAAGTGCATCTTGTGTTTTTGGTCTCAGTGAAGATATCCTTGTAAATGACATGGAAACGCCTATGGTGGTGGAAATGACTACTGGCTATGAATTACAAGAATGTGACTGATAGGGGCACAGCAGCAAACAAAAGCAGCAGGCTTGTGCAAGATCACCCTTGACACTATATTTTTGCTAAAGGCTTTAGCTCAGAGTAGTAGAGGAAAAGCTCCTGAAGTACGCTTATAGTGAATGTGGTGAAGCAATAAGAGCAAGAGAGAAACTGAAATTTAGCATAAAAGAAATGGAGGACTGAATTAGGAAAGCTTGTTTATGAAGGACTACTATTGTGTATTGTTTTATGTGTATGTATTTAAGGTATATCTCAAAGGTCATGAGAAACCACTAAAATTAGACAGTAAAATATGCAATGCAGTTTAAATGCCTCAGTACAAGAATGAGCTGCTGTGATGCTGGGAGTGCAGATGTTAGGAGGGCTATGAATCACACTTGGTGCAAGCATAGGAGGATGGCAGCTGTTTCCTCAGACATGCTTCCTCAAATACATGGTGAATAACCTGCTAGGGTGAGCGATTAAGCACAGGGGGACAAAGTGATGGCTGAGGAGGGACAGAGGAGGAGGGCTATTAATGTGCTGAAGTGGATGCTGATTTAAATGGGAACTGATAGGCTATGCAAGGAAAAGAAGCCTTTAGGCTGCTAACTAAGATAGCAGCCCACTTGTGAGAAAAAAAAATGAGCACCTTGACTGAGACTGGCAGCTCCCTGCAGAGGATTGTGTTGAATGGTCAGTGCAAAATACTGAGTAGGAGGGAAGCCAAGCAGTTTGATACACTGAATAAGAACCTGAGAAGTGAAGGGAAAAGAAGAAAACTCAAGGTGATGATATTTAAGAAACTTCAGCCTGTTTCAGAGTTTAATACGTGGGAAATGCATTTACTTACTAGCTTTCATTGAAAATTGCTGAAGAATGCAATGGATCTGGCAATATAAAGAATTACCCATCCTTTCATTGTCTAACGCATGTGTTCTGACCTCCCAGAAGATGCCTATAAAAACATTTGCAAATGTCTTTAACTGTAAAAACTGAATTACAGTTTGACAAGACTGACATTGTTTGAGCATAACGCTAGGTGTACTTGAGTTTCTAATAATGATAAATTCATTCATAAAATGAACATATTTTGAGCAAAGAATAATACAAATTCCTTGACCTAAATAAAAAACTCATAAGTATCTCAGTGAAGTTTGACTTCAAATGAAAATATTGATGAGTATTTGCATTCTGCTTAGCTGAGATTATTACTGGAGAGAGAAAAACAAGCAAACACATGCTTACACAAGGTAAAAAAATGCAGTTCTGTGTAGGTCGTTGTCTAATTTTTTAAATTATAACCACTTCTGTAAAAAAGATCCAATATTTGTAAAAGGTAGACATAATAATGAATTACAATATTGAATTGATACTTGTAATCTCTCAGAAATGTTTTTAAGAATGCCTCAATCTACCCATGAATTGTACAACATATAAGGTGATGGAATCATAACATGGAAATAAATTTTGGTGAAGCTTGCAAGAGCTGTTTGTACAAAAGCAGAAGCGCACATATAAATGGCTTAATTGATCATTGACTCAAAGGACTGTAAATGCATTTATTGTCTTTCCTTGTTCTGCAACCTGAAACTGCTACTTGTTTTTCATCATTTCAAGGCTTCTTATTTATGAAATCAGCTATGATAGGACTACAAATCTATCTCCAGTGAGGTACTGTATGATATCAGGCTCAGGTAGAGAATAGGGAAAGACTGAACACCATGAAGCAGGAGAAGAAAGTGTGGAACAGCCAGATGCTAGATGTTGTGGGTAGCAGACTATTTGGGTTTGATTATGTTCTCTCTGGACAGTGAAATAGGGCTTTCATCAATCTGAAGATGGGATAGACTGACCCCACTGACATTTAGAGAGAGCAGGATCTCTCAAGCAGTTTCTGTGTCTGTATTGCAGAGACAGGGAGGTAAGCAGGAAAAGTGAAAAACGGAGACTGGGATTCACAACAGCTAAGTTTTGACGTTTAAAAGTTAGATTCCTATGTCTCTGCTAGGCAGCAATGGTTCCCTTTATTTTCCAAGTTTAGTCAGCTGCTCTAGCCTAGTATCTGTCTTAAAGTGAATTGAATTGCTTTGTTGGGTCTTATTTCTCTTTGCTGATTATGAAAGAACCTGTGGGGTAACCTCAGACATACATAGCTGACATTAAAATGTCTAGGCTAGACTAGAAGAATCCCACTTGTAATGGCATCATAAGGTAGCTGAAAAACAAAATGACTTACTGATACATAGTATTTATGATAAGATAGTATCTTCAGAATGTCTTGCACATGTATATTTGTGTATATGTACCCTCACACATACATGGAGCTCTGTATATACACATATAATTAAAACTCTTAATGACACATGAAAGAAAACAAAGAGCTCCAATGAACCTGCAAATGGAAGTGGAACTAAGGAAGACAAATTGGTTGAAGTGTGATAATTTTCACTTTTCAGCTAGACTTCGTTATTTTAATAAGACTAATGACAGAAAAATGGCATGTGAAATTGTCACCTTTATTTCAAGGACTCTTAATAATATAAGTAGCCTGAATTCACATCAAAGATGAACTTGGTAGCAGATTCATCTTTCAGATGTATGCTTTTAAGCTAGAGTTGCTGAGCAAACTTATCAAGTCTATTCTATAGCAGATTCTCTGTAAAAACAGTGTTGTTGGTTTGTTTTTTTTTTTTTTTTTTTTTTTTTAAACTTCTTCTCCTTCTGTTCTTCTGGCTTTCTTTCTTCCATCTAGGCAAAAATGAGAGAAGAGAAATGTAGTGTCCATAGTGAAAGAAAACATGAGGCATATTTGCTGATGATGTAAAGATGCTAAAGTCTATTCAGCATAGAGGCACTACATTGACTTAAATAGCTACGGTTCTAGGGTTTTGAAAAAAAAATTGCAAGAGTGATTTTAAAATGTGTTTTGCTGTTTGTATATTTTTGGTTGGTAGTTGGCGACTGGCAGAATGTGAGAAGAGTCTGTTCTGGATATAGATTGTTGAGTGGCAGAAGTTAGAAAGATGGTGCAGAATACTGATTCCTAGAGCACTGGTGTTCCGTAAAGAGTTTAACTCTTTGGTTAATGCAAAGCATTGACTTCCACTGACTTTGGCAGATCTGCAGGAATTAATAGCCTGAGATCTGAGGCTTCTTAACTCTTAAGGCCTTATTTCTTTTTAGCTGACATCCTCAGTCTTAAGGAGACAGTGTGTTATATTATTTAGAACACTCTTCAGCTGTCTTTGTTACATCTCCTGGTAACAGCAGTTTGCCTACAAAGATGAACGTAAGCACACTGTTAACTTTTTGTTGTGTTGGGTTGTATTGCTACCTTTTTTCCCTCCCTGTGTTGTTCAATTATATGTAATTATCCACTACTATGTTTTTTTTTTTTTTTCTGAAAACTTTCTTTATG